GAAAATCAAAAGTGGGATTAATTCGCTTGTTGCTTCACAATAAAAGCTTTTTCTGTTGAAACTTAAAGCAACAATAGTTTGTCTAACACTACTTTGATAAATTCGGGGTCGAGGTGGATCATGATTATGAACTTTTTTATTTTTTTATTTTTAAATCAAGGATAATTTGTACATTTTGATTAATTCAAATTTGTTTATCTTAAAAAATAGTTTCACATGTTTCGAAGTCACGAATTCTTTTATCGACGCGCGACTAATTACAAATCTTTGGAATTTATTCACATATCGGTAAAAATTCGTTTCAACAGCCACCTCCCTTTATCATATAGATCATAAATTTATTACAATATGTAAATATCATGCTAATTTTCATCAAAATTCTATGTTTAAATTAATTATTAGGGAGAAGTTGAATTAATTTACCCCAAGCACCAAATGAGCATGAAGATGGGTTCTTAGAATTTAAGAAGACATTTATCGGAACTTCTCAATATAAAGTTCCTCTTGAAGAAGCAAATGAAAAGGTATCATTATTGGACCTTGCGCAATTGCAATACAAACTGGAGATGTATTTAAGCGATTGATCCCTTATCCAACGATACAGCACCGCCAATTTTCCGTCTTAAAAGCTTGATGCGATGATGCATTAGGTCCTGAAGATTGACTAAGAATTGATGGTTTCAGCCCAATATTCATATCTAAGAAATTGAAGGTACTGGCCATAATCAACGAAAAAAAAAAAAAAAGAGTGCGATGTTAAATTTATTTAGGAATTCTTAGAATATAAAAAAATGCTATTTATAAAAATCAAAAAATTTTTAAAGAAAATACAATAGACAAGCAAAGACACCCCCTTCTTTCGCGATATTAAAAAGAATTATTAAAGGTTTAACAATTCAAATGCTATGGAAGTGTCTTCCTATTTATTGTCTTTCTGATAAATAAAAGATCATAACTTTCTATATTACTACCTTTAAGATGTTATGCGTCAAATCAATGCCCAGCAAAAACATCATTTATTACGAGAATCAACCATGATGTCCCCCTTTTTTTTAAAAAAAAAAAATATATTATATAAGTAAAATAATAATTGCTAATGATGAAATAAATATAAGATTAACTTACAAGGCAATGATGGGTTTTGACATTATTTTTTGATTTTAAATATTTGGACATAGGAAAAAGTGTCCGGAGAGCTGCCCAAAATAGTCCAAGTGCTT